GTTGGCGATACTTGGTGAGACGCGGCGGCGAGGCAGCGCCAACCCAAACCCCTGTTGTTGCAAAGGGAAGGCACAGTGCTTAAATATTTAAGTAGTTGTTTTTAATTTAACCACTCTTAACTGAGTGCAACTTCCATACGAATAAATTAATACCTTGAAAATCACAACACAACCTGCAAACTACATATTTGAGGGGGGGAAAGGGATTGTTAGTAATGGAGACTGAGAATCCCATTGCTAGCTAACATCATGATGGGCTAACTGGCCTGTTTTCGTTCTCATCTATCACTCTTCACTGGTACTCCGCCAGCGTATCCTGTTAGCGCAGGCGGGGTTACCATACCATTTTCACCCATCGAAAAAAAACTAGATATTTGATTGAGAAATTATTGTATTATCCCCTGGACAGATCAATCTGACAACATTCGCATCCGCATCTACAAGCAAAATGCAAGTCTTTTGTCTAGACTGACTGTCCCTTCACAGCCACAACTACTAAATCTAGAAAGTTGAAATTTGGAATAAATATATGTTTATTTTATAACGTAAACATCCGCTAATAAAGGATTTTATAAAATTTTTACTTAACGAGGAAACGCGGCACCACGCGTGTTAAGTAGTGAGTAAAATATAAAAATTGTATAATATGTTCTGCCAACTTTCTAGTATTCGACTAAACTGAAAAGTTTCAGCCAGTTTTGGGGCAGATTTCGAGGATTGATAACATTTTTAAAATAATTTATAAGAGACTGGAAATAAGGTGATAAAATATAATAACTTATCTATGTTATTTCGATGTTCTCGTCTCTTATAAATCGTAAACATAAACCGTGCAAAAAAAAAAAAAAACATAAAATTATTATTAATATGATTATTATTAAAATCAATACAACAAAGTGATAAATTATTTATAATAAATAAATACATACTTGTCGTAATAAATATATGTCACAATAAATATTTATACATCGCAAGCGTAGGTTTATATATTATAGGTATAGATTAAGGAGAACACATATGATCCTTTCTATACTTATAAGCAACATAGCGCATACAATAATATATAATTTTAATATATATGTATATAGTTTTTTTTTTATTCATGAAAATGGCATGGTTACGCCGCCTGCGCTATCGGTATATATTAGCGGGGTAAGCGTAAAGGTGCGCGGTAATAAGTGAGGATGATAGCAATGGGGACTAAACTCCCCATTACTAACAATTCCCCCTAATTATGTATATAGTTATAAGAGAACAGTTTTTTTTTTAATATGATAAAAATGAAAAGAACTTTACACAAGCAGAGCTCCAGTGAATGATGAACATGAGAACAAAAAGTCGATTAGAATAAATAAATTAATTAACCACTATGGCAGGCGGACTGCGTGGAGATCAACCTGATAGGGTATATTACTAGCAATGGGGCTGCTAGTTCCCGTTACAGATAATCCCCTTCCCTCACCCTCAAGAGGTAGCAGTTAGGTACATGCAATTTGCCCCACATGCACAGTTGGTGCAACAATAACGACCCGCCATTGTTTCACCCTTGACCTAAATATTCCTGTTCCCTACTCCCAGTTAACGAGTGAGTTTCACGAGATATCATGTAACATTCTAAGTCTATTTGTAAAACATATATTTCTTAAATAATTGTTGTTCTCAAATTGGCTGTATTTTTTTTTTATTTATTAATTAAAATAATTATAATATTATGACAGTAAAAACCATGTTATATGATATGTATCATAATATGATATGTACTTACTCTTTGGATATTTTTAAATCTTAAATTACCTATTGAACTGTTACTTTGCTTAATAATTAAAGAAAGAAATATGTATTTCTATAACGAAAAATATACTTATGGATGTTCCATCCATAACATTGACATACATATAATATATCCAATACATTTTTTTTCTTTCCGTTAACATTTTTACATTTAGAAAAATACCAAAATCGGTGAGGCCATACTCATGGATAATAACCCTATTACTGTATTATTATTCACATATTAAATAAAGATTAGTTGAATTCATCCAACAATATTCAAATGATAGGTACCCTTACCAACAATCGTCTTTTTAATCTCTATTTATATGAATAAAGCTAATGTTATTATATTGAAAAATTAGACACTGCGTATAAATAAAGCATCCAAGAGTACGGGTTTCGAGTATCGACTGGGTCACGGTCGAGTGACGTCACGATCACGAGACGCCATCCCGTATCCTGCCTACTTTGCTCAAGGGCTTTTATCTGTTTCCATTTACCCACAAATCAGCTACATTTGGAATGTAAAATTGACTTCCAGCGGTCTCCCATGGAAACTAGCATGGTAAATTCTTGGTTAATTCATCTCGATGGGCAAACTGAACCAAGTTTAGACTTATAGTTTATAATAGGCGTCTACAATATATAACGTGTTAGAGACGCTGAAAGGCACAATATGAGTATGCGGATACAGCGGTTGCAAACTGCAATAAACGGAATGATTGGTCGACTACCGGACACGTGGTCGCTTCGAGAGGTGACACGACTGTTCACCTATCTTCAATTGATGACGATAGACGAAAACTATGATATGTGCATGAAACATGTTTTTTCTTTAATATAAATGTAATTTTATTATAAATTTACTTATTAATTCTTTTTTTCTTCATTTAAATACTTTTATTTTTTCCTATTACATATAGTAGGTACATGTATATTATTTTATATTTTGTCATTTATTTATTTATTCTTTATTGCACAATAAAACTTTGTACAAACCTATATACCATTGGGTAAAAACAGAAAGCGTATGAGGGTCAGATGTGGTGAAAAATATATGATAATTATAGTAACACATTAAGGCAATACACAATATAAATATAATATACACATAAGAAATGCACATAAACTTTACTTTTATATTTATATACATATATAGGTAGTCTTAATAATAATGTGTGAAACATGCTAATTGTTGTGTGTGTGTGTTGCAGGATGAATGTTACGTATGCGTATATACAATGATACTTTGTGATATTAATGACTTTTAGTCTATTTACAATATAAATGTTATTTAAAATGGAATGGTAACTTAGCCTGCATTATTGGTATACACCGGCGGAATACCAGTGAAGGATGATAAGTGAAGACGAAGCAGGTCAGTCAGCCCATCGTGACAAATTCATATATGAATCGATCACGATGGTTTCAAGGGGAACCACGAGGAGGTTAACCTAATATGATTTTTTTTTATACAACTTAGAATGGCAAACAAGCTGACGGTCCACCTGATGGAAAGTGGTAACCGTCGTCTATAAACATGAGCAGTACCATGGACATAACAGAGTATACTGGTTACACCCATGATACCCCCCATGCGTTACCATTCCTGAGGACTCAGGTGTTATTCCTCTGTACCCAGTAAATTCACGCCATATCCCATCCTTCAAACCGAAACACAGCCATGCAAACACAACTGCTTCACGGTAGAAACACGATTGGGACAGAGGTACCCAAGCAATCGACTTTTGTACAAAGTCTGCCTCTGGTTGTAGTAGGGTTACTAATCTCCATTACTAACAATCCCTCCCCCCCCCCTTGTAGAACCGATTGTATAGCACTATACAATTGTACAACGTCAGTAAACTGACATAAATAATTACAATATACTCGTAGTACGACTCTTAATAGTTATTATTTAACAAACTGTTTTGAAATGTTTGCCATTTCCTCCCATACGTTGTTTTTCATTTATACTTGTATTTTAAAATAAAGAAGTAAAATCTTCTATTTTACGTCCAAATGTATGGTAGTTGCTTGCGCGGCGGTGGCACACGCGAATCAAGAAAGTGCGCAGCCGGAGCTGGTCGACTCCTCTTGTTTCTTTTTTCACACTAATTGCGCTAAATCCGAGTAGGCTCTTGAACATATATTATTACAAAAATAAATGAATTCTCCTCTCCGAGCCAGTTTATGTGAACGGATATTAATTGTACACTTGATATCACATTTATAATTTTTTTTATATTTTTCTATTTAGATCTAAATTTAATTTAGTGTTTCTCATTTAAAAACCAAGTTTAAATTTATAGAATATTATTTAAAACAAAAAGAAATTCATATACAATGCATGAATTTGAAAATATAAATAAATGAATGTTTATACCAGAAAACGCCAACGCTACTTTCATTTGAACTAATATGTTCAATAAACTGATTCAGGGATATTGGATTGCCCTCAGCAATAAGACCGCCTTACTGTACTTATACAATTGTATCGTTATATTTATTAATTGTGTTGTTTTCCCCATATTATGTATAATGCAAATAAAGCATACTCATTCATTCATTCATAACGTGTACCACATTTGAACAAATGGCGACTTATTTATCAGCTTCCAGAACTAAATGATTCGGGTAATATTTACTGCATTTGTCACGTTTTATAAATTTCAAAAAACGCATGAACATTTTAGTTGGAAAAAAGTACCAACGCACTCATAAGTTGTTAAAATCAATGCAAAGTCGTAGTGGTGATTCTGAAGACTGTTTACATGTAGTACAAGTGATTTAAAAATCAAAATTAGTCGGTTGAAAATAAGTTAGACAAAAATATGCGAAATGACAAAAATAGTTCGATCAAACAAGCGAGTGACTTGAAAGCTTACTGAATAACTAAACATCGTATTGAGAGACGGTTTATGGAGACAGAGACCAGAAAAATGGGTTAATTTCTTAGACAACATATCGTGTCATAGATAGTGTACCTGCCAGACCCTCATAAAGTTACTACGCTGACAAAGCTAGACTAACTGGAGCTTAAATTATGAACCACAATTTATAAAAAAATATTGTTAGACTTATGTTCCGATTAAAAAAAAAAAAAACAGAATAGGGTGTAGCTGTGAGTGTATATAGATTTATGTTAATCAGTTTGGATTACTATAGTATTGAGATTACTATAGTATTTGTTAATTAATACAGTTAATAATAAAATAAAAGAAATATTTAGAATAAAAGAAATATGATCTATTATTTTTAACTAAAGGCACTCATTTTATTTTACAACACTACATCTGAACCCTACACAAGTCCTTCCCGTTTCTTCCATTCATTCTTAAGTTGCCTCATTTTTTTCTTTTTATATTCATTCCTCTTATATTTCTTTTCTTCAAATCTTTTCCTCTGAGCAGCTACACTTTGTTCTCCATTTAAGGTCTCATCCAATTTTTCAATCAACATTTCTCGAGCCAATTTCCTGTTTTCATCTTGGCATCTACTTAAATGACATTTTACAACTGTACCTGAAAATATAAATAAATCTTATCATAATCTTCTATTTATAAAACAATAAATGTGCCTGCAATTTTTTCTATGTGATAGATTTTTTATGCAATTTAGAATAGCAAACAAGCTGACAGCCCACATGATGCACAAATTGATAGCCTGAATACATGAATATCACCTAAATACATGAATAGTATCGTAGACATAACAAAGTACTCTATCACCCATGATAACCTTTATGTATTGTCTTTCCTGAGAACTAAGGTGTTATGTAATTTCTTGTAATTTCATTGCCTTATTCCACCTTTCAGATCAAAACAGTCATGCAAACACAACTGCTTCACAGCAGAAACACAAATAGAACAGAGGTACCCAAGCAGATAATTTTTATAGTCTCCCTCTGGTAAATCCTAAAATTTACTTATTTCATAAAAATAGTAATATTATCTAATGGATTTTTTTGTAAACATGGCAATTTAATTAACAAAAAATCCTATATTTTCTGCAAGTATACTATTTCAAACAATCAAAATCACTTCCTAAATCACAATATCTAAATTTAGCAGTAGACCACAGTAGCCTATCCATATTAATAAGATTTATCACCTGTAGGCAGATGTGTCAGGACAACACAATTAGCATTTTTGTTCACAGCAGACCCTCCTGGACCACTTCCCCTGACAAACTGCTCAGATAATTCATGCTCTTGTATCTTAGGCACACGGGAATAATCCAAGGTATGTTTGAAGACCACTGGTGTGTTTGATAGGCGCCAACTGCTTCGTAGGATACGTATTGATGAAGAAAACATTTTACACAACAGCACCACGGTTTAACAGTGCCAGACCTTTCTGTAAATAGAATAAATAAATAAAGTTAGTAAAACCAAATGGAACCACAAATTACTCTTTATTATCCAAGTATATTTGATATTCTTTTCAAGGGGGTATCTGGACTCTTAAAAAAAGTGCATATATATGCTTAGACCAATCTTTGCCTATAACTGAAAGCTCATCTCCTTATTCTGAAATAGCCACAGCCCACTTGACCCCTACTGTTAATATGCCTATAAGGCTTACATAGTGATACATACTTTTGGAATAATTTAAAGATTATTCACAAAAATAAGGAATACATTTAAACTTATCAACTTACCTGATATGCAAAACTTATGTCTTCAGAACTTGTCAATGATTTATTTTTCCTAAATTCATTGGATACCTTACGTCGGAAATATATGGGATCTGTTAACCTCAAAGAATTTGAATAGAGAATCAAATTTTTATACAACCGAAGTATTTCCAATCTCGTAGGCATGATAATAGATGTACCTACCTCCCACTGAAATTTAAAATATTAGACTTACTAAATCATTATATTTAAATATAACAGTAGCCTATCCATATTATTAAGATTTAAGAAACTGCTGCAAAGGGTATCAACTGAAAAAATTGTTGACTAGTCCTTTCCTGTAACTCTGATATGTCATCAGTACATAAAGTATCCTATGTGTTACATTGGAGGGATTTACCAACTCCATTACTAGCAATATACCCTATCAAGTCGACCTCCATGCAGTGCCCCCTGGAAACCATCGTGGTTCATTCTTGTGGATGTCATAATGATGGGATAACTGACCTGCTTCCATTCTGACCTTTCATCCCTCACTGGTGCTCTGACAGCATATAATGTTAGCGCAGGCGGGGTTACCATTCCATTATCATTCAACAAAAACAAGTGTTAAGTTAGCATACAATTTATAGTATTATGTTTATCAAGAAATCATACAAATATCAATCCCTTCATAAAATGATATATGTACCACAAAATAGTTATTCAACATAGTTGTAACATTATTATAACATTTGCGATTACATTATAGGCTAAAATGATAAGTAGATACAAAAATCAACCAATAAACGACTTGTTCATTAAATAAAAATTATTTGTTTTTTTTTCTTCCAGTAAATAAACTAATTTATTTATTACCTACGTACTTAACGTTGTTAACAATTCATTTTATTCAATTAAAGTTAAATTTTTTTTGTTACATATAATCATCAGAAATCATTTAGACCTCATTTTTTTTTTTTTTTTTTATTAACGTTGTTAACAATTCATTTTATTCAATTAAAGTTAAATTTTTTTTGTTACATATAATCATCAGAAATCATTTAGACCTCAATTGCAGCTGTCATTCAGTCATTCAATGTCTTGTGTCTTCCAATCAATCACCATATCAAACTATAGAATAAGGATAGCTACATTTTGACCTTAGATAAAAGACCGATATATTTATGTATCTGTCCTTTTCCTTAATATTCATTATTCAACAATTCTAATTCTTATTCTAAATTCCGTCGTCCAAAACTCCCTTTCCTAAAATGCTGTTTCTCAAACTTATACTACTGAATCATCAAATGGTTATATATAATTAGATTAATATCAAAAAAGTAGAAATGAAATCACAAAATATTTAATTCAGTTTATTTAGCGATCAGAAATGTATCATATCATTATTCCGTAAGGCAGATTTTAACATTCCAATTCAGTAATTTTATTATCGGAATATTAGGGAAATCCCCATTAAAAAATTTTATATTGACATCACTGACATTTCCTTTGTTCCATTAATCACTTTTAATAAGAATTTGCAACTATTGAGTTTATGAGTTCTTTTCTATAATATATTATAGATAATAAATTAACAATTTTGAAGACAACAAAGGAATATTTAAAATAATGGAATATATCTCACTATTTGATTTATCAAATTAATTGTTATTAATACTTCGGATATATTATCGAAGATAAAGATTTGCCATTGTTCCTTTAAATTTTATAACTTGAAACACAAAGTAAACATTTTCAAACCTATTATTCATTACATATATTCAGTGAAAATCAAATTATCATATTTGATTGTTAATTTTATTATTTTATTTTTCTGTAGTGTAGTGAAACAGTTTGAATAAAAAAGTTATTTCAATATCACTAATATAATGCTGAAGTCGGACGCACTAACTCACTCACGTTGGTATACAACAGGTGATACATACCCCTCTATCAATATACAATCCATTATAGAGATTGAAAAAGAATTGGAACCATACGACCTCATATCACTTGTATTTCTATTGTACGATGTTCCTGAGACGGCCTTACAGCGACTTATTATATTTCAACGGGTATACAAGGATATTGGCGGTAGCAACTCCAATTTATTACAGGAATGGGCGCGTCACGCCCAGAATCGGGATATGTGGAAGCATCAATTTCTAGAGGCACTTATTACATGCCAAATATACAATGTGGTCAGAAAACTTGGCTTCAATGTAGCTGCAGTCAAGAAACAGTATCAGGAAAATGGTGAACACTTTATTAATCCTATGAAAAAGTTACTGTATAAGTTATGTGAAAATATAGACTCGGAAAAACTGCATAAACTAAAAAAAACTCTCTCAACTTATAGCATCGACACTACTATGTTTGAAAGTTGTGAATTGATTTTTCTAGATTTAATGTGTAGGAAGTTCATTGAGGTACAGCAATATCAATATGCACAAAAAATCACAGGCAATGAATATAATATAGAAAATTTAGCAAAGATAATAGAGAACTTCTCTGGTTTAGAGGACTTTGCCAAACAACTAAGAGATTTGGAAGCAATGACTAAAACAGAGGGAAGAGACATACACTCACATCCTGATGTTCCTCCATCAGCGGTAAATAAAGATGAACTAACAGTAAAAGAGGACAAAGTTGAAGACAAATTTACACATAAAATGTTTGATGATACCTTTGATCTCATAAATGAGTTTATGGGAAAATTAACCATGGATGGCTTAGCAACTGATAAACTGAATAATGATACATATTGTATAAAAAACCCGAGTAAAGTCGGAGTGTGTTATATCTTAAACCAAGAAGATTTTCATCCTTCTAAAAGTAGTATTGAGAGTAAGGGTAATTTTAAACCATTAGATAAAAGGAAGGGTTCAACAAAAGACAAATTGGCATTAGAAGAGACTATGAGTAAGCTGAACTTTGAAGTAATTACCCGTGATAATCTAGATAGACAAACTATGCTTGAAGATATAAAGAATGTGATCAAATACAGAGTGCAAAAATATCATAGTATGTTCATGTTGTGCATATTGTCCCATGGAATAAAAGGTCATGTATATGCAGCTGATTCTGTCAAAGTTAAAGTTGAAGAGATTGAAAGTTTATTGGATTGTGATGAGGTTAATCACCTCCGTGGTATGCCAAAAGTGATAGTGCTCCAAGCATGTCAAGTTAGCAATGAAGACCAATATCAAGATGTTGATCTAGCTGCTGATGGACCTAAATATTATATAAAAAAGTCTGATGTCCTGATATATTGGGCCACTGCACCCGATTATGAGGCCTATAGAATAGAGGCATATGGATCATTGTTTATACAAATATTATGTTCAGTTATACAAAAATATGCAGACAAAGACCATTTGTGTGATTTATTTTTAAAAGTTAACTACATAGTTCATAAAGCCTGTACAAAATTGTGTTGTGATCAGTTGCCAAAAATAGAAAGTACGTTGAAAAAAAAATTATACTTGAAAAGGCTTGCATAATAAGTGATAGTATTTTAAGATGACAAATCTCATTTTAAATCAGTTTTAAGTTTCTTTTATATAAACTGAAATATTAATATTGTGTATGAAAAACTTGTTTTATAGTAGAAAATTGTATAAAAATTAGTTAACTTATATTTATAAATAATTCTTGAATATATATATTTACATAACTATTGTTCTTATTCTTTTGAACCCAATTATTTATTTGTGGAAGTAATCAATTATTTATCATTATTTGTGTAAATATGTCAAAGAAAATAAATACATTTTTAGATTTTTTAAAAAAAAAATGGACTTTATTCAAACTATCATATGATTCACAATAACGTGGAAGTTTTTTTTTCCTTAATTACAGAATAATATACCATTTTTTTACATTTTACAACTAATTCTGAATGTGGTTTTGTCATTGAGTTGAATACAAATAATTAGTCTATGTCCTATAAGCTGCATTTTTTTATGCAATTTAGAATAGTCAATAAGCGAACGACCCACCTGATGGGAGGGGGAAAGGGATTGTTAGTAATGCGGATTAGCAACCCTATCACTAGCAATATACCTTATCAGGCCGACCTCCTCGCGGTTCCCCTTGGAAACCATCGTGATTGATTCATTGGTGAATATGCCACGATAGGTTAACTGGTCTCCATCTTCACCTCTCATCCCTCACTGGTGTCCCACCAGTGTATACCGACAGCGCAGGTGGAGTTACCATTCCATTATTATCTATTAAAAAAAAAGACCCACAGTGGTAACCATCGCCTATAGACATGAGCAGTACCATTGACATAACAGAGTACCTATACTGTTTGGCCCATGATACTTTATATATACTTTAGTCATTACCCAATTCAGTGGTGAACACGCAAATAGGCACAAACACATTGGTTTTCCCTTTAGACCGTTATAAGTAAGAGTTCTATGGTAAAATTATAAAGTTAGTATGTTATATCTATTATCCTGAGCCATTTGCCACTTGCAACTTTATTTGTAGTTGTTACTATCAAGCAGAGATTGCTTTACGTTACGTTTTCTTATAGTTAAAAAAATTATGATAATCTACTTGTTTTATTACCTTTATCCTCCATAGGATTACTTTAGCGGAGTTACCTGTGAAAATTAAGTCAGTTCAGTTAGTCCATTATGACAAATTCATCAGGTATAAACCATGATATGTGGTTTTTAGGGGGAACCGCGTAAAAGTCGACCTGACAAGGTATATTACTAGTAATGGCCGCTATAGTGTATGTAGTAGTATGGTACCGCTAGAGTCTACTGCTACCAACTTCATTCTCTACATTATTTTACCATTGTAATTTACTTGCAAAGTGATACCCTAATTAAGTCTAATTAATAATATAATAATGTGGACTACTAATAATCCCTTCCAACCCCCCCCCCCCCCCTCTCCCTGTGACCCTGTCATGTTGACCTCCACGTAGTCCATGGAAATCATCGTGCTGAATTCCAGGTGTATTCATTACATTAGGCTAACTGACCTACCTTTTGGGGAGGAAAAGGATTGTTAGTAATGGAGTGTTAGAATAGATAACCTCAATGGTAAAAATATTAATTCTTTTTTATTATTGACAGTCTATTGAAGTTTGCAAGTCTACTAATAAAACTTGAAGACCAATGTCTTTTCCTGTTGTATATTATTTTATTTAGCTTTCTCCAACATGGAGACTAAGAATCCCCTTGCTAGCAATATACCCAACCAGGTTGACCTCCTCGCGGTTCCCCCTGGAAACCATGTGGTTGATTCTTGTTGTATCCGTCACAATGGTCTAACTGTTATTTTCATCCTCACCATTCACTGGTGCCCCGCTAATATATACCAATAGCGCAGGCGAGGTTACCATTGCATTATCATGCATTAAGAAGACATCACTTCTGAGCAATTCAAGTGATTAATCTGCGGATATCCTCGAAAATTATACATATTATCTTATAACAAGCTAATATAATTGAGGAACAAATCAATTAAAATATATTTTTTATTAAATTTACATAATATGATTACAGGGTAATTATTAAACCTTCGATAATTAAAAGATAGATAAGCATATTTATGTATGTCTATGCATGTACATACGTATAGGTATACATACCAATAAATTAAAATGTAAATTTGGTAAAAAAATATGTATTTTTCTAATATATTAAATTCTCGTGTAGCGGTGTTACCAAACTCCTCCGAAACGGCTTTACCGATTTTTATGATATATTGTGTAAATATCGGGTAGGTCTGAGATTCGGCCAACATCTATTTTTCATTCGCCTCAATGATAAGGATGACCACCCCTAAAAAATATTTTTTTTTAATTTTTTTCACAACATTTTTTATTTTTATTTTATAATAAAATATTTAGCATTGAAGAATACAAACTCAAATTATCACCGTTTTACGATCAAGCCCTATTTTTTAATCGCGATTTATATATTCCGCAATTGGGTTGCAAGATGGCAATTTGCTTTTATTATATAATTTCTTACAATTTAAATTAATCTTCAACCCTCATTGGGCGATAACTGATCAACTACCAATCGATCAGTTACATCACGAAAGGATGAGAACGAAGCTGACCTCCTTTTTCACTCTTTATACAGTTTTCGTCCATTTTTTTGTGTTTTATTTGTATCTCGATCGTAGTAGTGACTGCTATATGTCATCATATCATTTTAACTTTTCAGTGCAATTCTCATGTTAATTTTATTCTCATAGTGAATTTATTATTATTTTTCAGTGCTATTCATATTTATTTACATTTTATTAATAATTAATAAAGATAGTTCTCACTTTTAGTTGACTGATCAATCTGATAAAAATCAACACGTCACAGCTCCCGCCAAAAACGGCCATAGGTCCTTAATCTAAAATTTCACGTGTCTAATTTCTGAACTGACGTAATCCCATTAAAACTCAGTCTCGTTTTACCCCATTAGGGATTCATTTTTAAAATTCCTTTTCAATTATTCATTTACAGACCGTCTGACCCCGCCATAGATTATACCACCTCTTCCTTTCCCGTAGGTATCGTAATAGGCGACTAAGGGAGGGCGAGGGATGGGCAGCAGCGTCGAACTGCGGTTACCAATCCGCCTGCCAATCATGGAATTTACTAGCAAAACCCCTCAAGAAGGAGGCTTATGTTCAGCAATGGACAGTTAAAGGATGATATTTATCTACGCAATATAAAAAAAACCTATCTGCAACATTTCAAAATTCTAGATTCAGCGGTTTCAGCTATACATACGTTGATATATAAGCCAATCAGTCAATGATACTCTTTTATATATATTAATAGATAAATATCATGTGTATCTGATCTTATGCAGAGAAATGAAAGCCATGTTTTGAAGAAGATATTTAATATTTGTAATGGTGGATGAATGTAAAGGAAGGCGATGACTAAAGGAAAGGTGGATGGATTGTCTAAAAGAGTATTAAGTTTGGGTATGACGGCTAATGAGATGGCTAGATAAAGAAGACACTGTGCCGAATTATAATGAATGGGATAATGCAAGACACTGTTGATGAATGATATTATCTTACGTGCTTAAGTAAAATCATAAACAAATTGTAGTTCGCGACTTTGCTCACGCGTTTTATTATATTAGCTGTATTCCATTCAAATTTCTTCAGCCGTTTAGACTCGTCCGCGGCTTTATCCGCATAAAATAGAATATAAAAATGTATAGTTACTACATAGATAAACTCCGGGACTGTCTGATAGGTTCTTTTTATTTTACAAATAGTGGTCCAACCCGGTTTCGCACGGGTAGATAGATACAAACTTATATCTGTATTTTATATTAGCATTAATAGGCAAATGTTTTATACTGTGGGTTTTGGGTTATATGAAGATAAATGGTCATCTTAGCCTAATCCGCAGTGCTTGCTACAATTAAACCTATATGAATACTTGCATCTAATTTCAAGTTTACAAGCATAGGTAAACATTCTGATAAATGGGGAATTATAACATGCATATCCTACAGAATGATATTAGTATATTCTAGATACACTAAGGAGTAGGAAAACTTTGTAATATCTAATGATGAATTGTCAACAAAGATTCATCTCTTACTCTTGCTCTAGCTGCTGTTACTCCTGCACGAACTCTTATACCTAATTCCAAGTCTACAAGCGTAAGGAGTTTCAGAGCTTTTTCTCGAACTTCCGGAACCACCGGGATAAGTGACGAGACAATGTTATCAATAAATCTTTGTTTATGACCTTCATCACTCAAAATGTATTTATAGAAATTAGAAGGAGACTCCAAATCAACTGCATTACTTTCAAATACAATGATTCGTTCGTTAGGACGGGACTCGTCAACAAAAGGCACAGGACCACTGAATGAATTTGGATAATAATTCGGTACGTCTTTCATATTATCGTTCACTGGTGGTACTCCATCACGGTTATATGTCTTAAGATATTTCGGTGCGTTTACATTGATTCTGTTATGGTTAATGCCTAACCGATAATTTTGTGTATCCCTGTATATTAGTCTTCTACTTTTGAAAATTGCATCTGGAGGACTGTTAATGCCAGGAACTAAACTGCCAGGATTATATGCACTTAATTCTACAGCTTCAAAAAAGTTATCAGGGTTCCTGTCAAGTACTAACCGACCTATTTGTACTGTGTGATAAGTGCCATTTTTCCATAATCTCGTCACATCAAAGGGATTGTAATCAACATTGGTAATATCATGTGATGTCATAACGTCCATTTCTATTCGCCACGATGGATAATTTTTTAAGGCAATATTATTGTACAGATCTCTTGTAGCGTAGTCGAGATCTTGACTAGTTATTGCTGCTACTTCGGCTGTTGTCAGATTTTCCAAACCTTGTTCAGTCCTAAAATTGAATTTAGCAAAATATCTGTCTCCATGCTTGTTATTCAATTCATATGTATGTATTGGAAATCCATCCATCTTCCTGTATCCATTTGGAGATCCATAGTCTGAGTAGCGCCAAAATAATCCATGTAAAAGAATGGGTTTCAATGTTACGAGATCCCATAATGCTGTTATATCATTTAAATTTGTACGTGGATTTTTTTTTAAAACATGAAGAAGTGGACTAAATAATGAAGGATCTGTGTAGAAATAAATTGGAATATTCAATCCTAAAAAATCCAAATTTCCTTCATTTGTATAAAATTTTATGGTGAAACCTTTTACCTCTCTGGCAATATCGTTTCCTCCTTTACTCGCTGTCCCGGTCGACAATCGAACGGCAACAGGAGTTTTTTTACCAATACCGTTAAAGACATCTGCTTTTGTATATTTAGATACATCATGAGTTACTTCAAAATAACCAAATGCGCCTGTTCCTTTAGCATGTACTGCTCTTTCGGGTATTCTCTCGGCAGTGGTATGCATTACATCGTCCAAAAAATATTCATTTGAGGTGGGAGCATCATTATTCAAAGTAGTTGTCTCTCTTATATCCACTGGTTTTCCAGCCATTGTGGTTAAAATTCCAATAGGTTTCTGAAATAAGAATGCCAAAAATTATTAATACTTTTATACATATGTATTAAAAAGTAGCAAAATATTTCAGTCCTCCATCATAGTCTTCGCAGCTTCCAGATGTAAGTTGTAAGTAGTTTAAATTTTTTCTTCAGTTGAACATTAATTACTTCTCCAATATTTTAATGCAAAGCAATATTTAAACATTTTTGTATTCAACCCTGGAAGAGATCGCTTTTAACGATAAGGTTGCCCATTATTTTCTCACTGTGATTATTTCTTATAATTGTTTGTATCTATAATAAGTTTACTATTGTAATCTTTTGGAGGAAACAATAAAGAGTATCTATATCTATCTATATTAGATACAATTAATGTTAATCATTAATTTGGTTAGCCAATGGTTAGCTGGTAGAGAATGCCATATGGCATTAAGCTCGCCATTTGTACAAAATTTTATTGTGCAATAAAGAATAAATAAATAAGTAAATTTATTTATTTACACACTAATAGTACATACAGGTATAACAGAGCTAAGTAAATGTACAAAGACAAGCTTAACTCTAAAAGAGTTCTCTTCCAGCAAATCTAAAATAGAAAGAAGCATCAATATCAATGGGTAAACGGTTTACAATAATGTGACAATTTTCAAACAATAAAGAACTAGACTTAAGTTTACGCATAGCTAGTTATATCATATTTAACCGTAAATATAAAATACACATATACTTATACAAATAAATTAATATAAGTTCATAAAGATAGAAGATGCTCTTTAAGTCAACTTTAAAAATATATTTAGGGATTGACTCTCACAGATAGGAGATAAAAGATAATTCCACAATCTAGCGGAATTCCACATATTATTAAATATGATAAATATTGATTTTAAGTACGCTTATTAATAATATTTACGGCTTGCTCCAGTTTAAAATCTAGCAATTGGCGTGCAGCAGGTTCCAATGTATTATTCACGTAATCATGATAAGCACAAACGACTCTCGTAAGCCACAAAATTACTGCGTAAAACACAATCATTTTCTTGCCGACAACTAAATCTTTTCTGTTATGAAATTTGTCTGACCAAGTTTAAATAACCTCTAGGCTGTGTTTGGTTACAAAAGAATTAATGCAAAGTAAAATAGACATAAAAAATCAATATCCGATTCAGTGCATACCTATTATACAATTAATTACATTGTATTGGTTGCAACAATGTATTAGTTATCTCCTAATAATAAATCCAATCAAAAGCATACCACAAAGATAATATGGTCAGAGAGCCAAGCATATAAAAAAAATATTAAAATAATCCAAATACGTGCTAGATTTTTATGGTGTTTTTACAGTTCTTTTCTGGGCCCCATCTATTACGCGTGAGGAACATTCCAATTCATTCATGTTTAAATAATAAAAACAGTAAGATAATTTGGAAGATTAAACAAAGCATAGATATGTTGGCGTCATTCATATACATTTAGGACGCAAAATTGCAATCTTGCATAATTGCACACTTAACTATGTGTGGTCGTGTGAAGCTTGGCCATTCTTCTTTACTGACGTCAATAAAGAGCGGTCGTATATTAAAATGTTGAGATTCATACTTTTGCTTTCAAACAATGATTCTACTAATATTATAAATGAGAATGTTTGTTAAGACTTTTTTATATTTGTTTCTCAATACGATTGAAAGAATTTGAATGAAATTTGTTGCAGGGAAAGTTATATTACTTAGACAGGATACTTTATATACTAACGAACTTTCACTGACCAATATAAAAAATGACATTCTCTATTCCATATGGTACGTGTATATCTAACTTCACTGGAAATGTCGCTAAAATGTAACGAACTTTCGCATAATATTAATAAGGATTCATGCGAGTAAAGCCTTGGGAAATACAGTAACATACCCTATTAGGTCGAACTCCACGGAGTTCTCCTTGAAAAACATTGTGACTGATTTATTATTGAATTAGTCACGATAGGTCAATTGACCTGCTTTATCATCCCTCTCTGTTGCAAATTTCACAAGATTCATCTAACAGTAATTATTAAGTAAATAAAAACATATACCTACTAACAAATGACAAAAACTAGCCATTTTATTTATTTTTATTATTTTAATTAACACATCTCTTTTAAACAGTTAGCAATGAGGTGAAATGTATAAATAAAGTGAATAAATCCCTGTACTGCCGCTGTGTTTTGAACATCTTTTCAATTTTGCTTTTTGTTAAATTTTAAATTTTTTTATATACCTAGTTCAGCCATATGTTCTGTTACAAATGAAAATGCATTTTCATCTGTAACAGAACTTCTGGCTGGACTATATATATATATATATATATATATATATATATATATATATATATATATATATATATATATATATATATATATATATATATATATATATAACATAAATATATTTAATAGCACATATAAAACAGGAAAAAATGACGAAGGAAAATAAAAAGAGAACAAAGAAAAATAGTACTAAATGTAGGATTTAACAAAGATTTTAAAGCTAGTGAGAGTTTGAATGTACCAATTAGAGGCATGTAGTGAGTTAGGCGAACTGCCTAGACAATAAAGGATTTAAAAGATAAAGAAGAAAAATGAGCGGGTAATTTGAGGCGGAGGTTATTGACACTGCGTGAAATATGGTCATTATATTAATGATCTTCTATCGAATTTACTAAAAGAAGCATTTGTGACTTTGTTTGCTGATAATATACATGTAGAGCTAAGAAATAAATGTAAAATAGAATTAAATAAAATGATATATAATACCATAAAACTATTAGATATTTGGTTTCAAGCTAACAGCATTATACTAAATGCGGTAACTACAAACTATGATTATAGTTAGAGTACAAAATTTTTAGGATAGACGGTCGATAGTACACTTTTTCATGAATCACATATTGAAAAATAATGTAACTATCTTCTGCCAATCATAATATATAATATTGCCTTAAGTAAACTTAAGCAATTAATAACAAAAAAAGCTCTGAGAATGGTGTATTTTGCATATGTTTAGTCGCTAATATCATATAGTATTACAGTTTGAGGCAATGCAGCTCTCGTGTTGAAAGTTATAAGGCAACAAAAGCGAATTATAAGGACTACATGTGGAATTCATAAACGCACCTTTGTTAGACCTTACTTTATCCAACAACATATAATGACGGTGTCGTCATTGTTTGTATACAATTCTTTACTCGAAATCAAAGATTTCACTTCGAAATATATGATAAAATGGGCACTATTCGCAAAAATTCAGCCAATCATAGTTACGCCACGAGAAATAAAAACAAATTGGAATTGCCAAGAACACGACACAAAAACTATAAAACATGGTATTTATCTAAAAATAGAAATATATAATAAACTAGCGGCCCGGTACGTGCTTTGCTACGTATAAAGTGAAATAATAAAAAAAAAAATTAATGACCGCATGAATGGCATAACAACATGCTTGTACTGTCAACACTGAAAAAGTTTCAATTTTACAGCACAATCCCCATTAACTAAATGATCCGCGGTTTATTGAATTCATTTATTACAAAAAATGTGATAAATGAAGAACCGCTCGACCGATTTTGTGCAAACTTCACATAAACCATCTACTAAATAGTCGGAACAAAGCCTAAACATTTGGTTTGGATAGGTGAGCCGTTTTTGAGTTATTAAATTACAATGAAAAGTGGCATTAATTTTATGCATATAGATTACACAAAACAATAGCAATCTTAATATAATAACTACCGGTTTAATAATTAGGATATTGTAAGGCAGTGTTGGTGAATGATTTTATCTTACATGCTTAAATAAAATTATAAACAAATTGTACATCGCAACTTTGCCCGTGCGTTTCATATTAGTTGTATTTCATACAAATTATTTCAACCGTTTAGATATGCCATAAAATAGAATTAAAAATATACAGTTATTACAGAGATAAACACCGGGGGTACCTGATAGGTTGCCTTCATTTTACAACTAGTGGTCAATCCCTATTTTGTACTGGTAGATAAATATTCGTACAAAGGTAAAATTTTTGATACTTTGAGTTTGGGTTATATTATTGTAATTTTTATAAGGATATCCATTTTTTTAAATACAAATAGCCCACGTCATTACCTGATAATATAGTTTTAAAAAAATCAAAGCATTTCTCTATACAATATTACTATAGATAAAGATAAATGGTCATCTTAGCCTAATCCGCGTGCTTGCTACAATTAAACCTATATGAATACTTGCATCTAATTTCAAGTTTACAAGCATATTTAAACATTCTGATAAATAGGGAATTATAACATACATATCCTACAAAATGATATTAGTATATTCTGGATATACTAGGGAGTAGGATAACTTTATAATATTTAATGATGAATTGTCAACAAAGATTCATCTCTTACTCTTGCTCTAGCTGCTGTTACTCCTACACGAACTCTTATACCTAATTCCAAGTCTACAAGCGTAAGTAGTTTCAGGACTTTTTCTCGAACTGCCGGAACCACCGGGATAAGTGACGAGACAATGTTATCAATAAATCTTTGTTTTTTACCTTCATCGTTCAAAATATATTTATAGAAATTAGAAGAAGACTCCAAGTCAACTGCATTACTGTCGAATACAATAATTCGTTCTTTAGGACGGGACTCGTCAATGAAAGGCACAGGACCACTGAATGAATTTGGATAATAATTCGGTACGTCTTTCATATTATCGTTCACTGGTGGTACTCCATCACGGTTATATGTCTTAAGATATTTCGGTGCGTTTACATTAATTCTGTTATGGTTAATGCCTAACCGATAATTTTGTGTATCCCTGTAAATTAGTCTTCTACTTTTGAAAATTGCATCTGGAGGACTGTTAATGCCAGGAACTAAACTGCCAGGATTATATGCACTTAATTCTACAGCTTCAAAAAAGTTATCAGGGTTCCTGTCAAGTACTAACCGACCTATTTGTACTGTGTGATAAGTGCCATTTTTCCATAATCTCGTCACATCAAAGGGATTGTAATCAACATTGGTAATATCATGTGATGTCATAACGTCCATTTCAATTCGCCACGATGGATAATTTTTTAAAGCAATATTATTGTACAGATCTCTTGTGGCGTAGTCCAGATCTTGACTAGTTATTGCCGCTACTTCGGCTGTTGTCAGATTTTCCAAACCTTGTTCAGTCCTAAAATTGAATTTAGCAAAATATCTGTCTCCATGCTTGTTACTCAATTCATAAGCGTGTATTGGAAATCCATCCATCTTTCTGTATCCATTTGGAGATCCATAGTCTGAATAGAACCAAAACAATCCATGTAAAAGAATGGGTTTTAAAGTTGCAAAATCCCATTGTGCCGTTATGTCTAATAAATTTGTACGTGGATTTTTTTTAAAAACATGAAGAATTTGACTGAATAATGAAGGATCTGTGTAGAAATAAATAGGAACATTCAATCCTAAAAAGTCCAAATTGCCTTCATTTGTATAAAATTTTATGGCGAAACCTTTTATCTCCCTGGCGATATCGTTTCCTCCTTTACTTGCTAACCCGGTCGACATTCTAACGGCTACAGGAGTTTTTTTACCAATACCATTAAAGACATCAGCTTTTGTATATTTGGATACATCATGAGTTACTTCAAAATAACCAAATGCGCCCGTTCCTTTAGCATGTACTACTCTTTCGGGTATTCTTTCCGCAGTGGTATGCATTACATCGTCCAAAAAATATTCATTTGAGGTGAGAGCATCATTATTCAAAGTAGTTGTATCTCTTATATCCACTGGTTTTCCAGCCATTGTAGTTAAAATTCCAATAGGTTTCTGAAATAAGAATGCCAAAAATTATTTATACTTTTATACATATTACAAAGTAGTAAAATATTTTAGTCCTCCATCACAATCTTCGCAGCTTCTAAATGTGAGTTGTGAGTAGTTTAAATTTTTTCTTCAGTCGAACATTAATTAATTCTCTAATTTTTAAATGTAACGCGAGTTTTAATACTTTAATATTAAAACTTTTTTTCTCTTAGAAAAAATATTCAATTTCGTGGATATTATTATTATTCTAATTTCAAATTATTTTTATTAGTTATATTATAAATGAAAATAAATGAATGCAATTCTGAGGTCACTATGTAGTATACAACGGACTATATTGAATACAGCTAATGTTAATCAACCATATTATTAAATATGGTAAATATTGATTTTAAGTAGGCACAACAATGATATTTACCGGATGGTCCAGTTTGAAATCTAGCAGTTGTCGGGCAGCAGGCTCCAACGTATTATTCACGTAACCATGATAAGCACAAATAGCTACTGTAAGCCACAATATTACTGCATAAAACACAGTCATTTTCTTTCCGACAAATAAATCTTTTCTGTTATGAAATTTGTCTGACCAAGTTTAAATAACCTCTAGGCTGGGTTTGGTTACAAAACAATTAATGCCAAGTAAAATAGACACAAACAATCAATTTCCGATTCAGTACATACGTATTATACAATGAATTACATTGTATTGATTGCAACAATGTATTCCCTAATATATTCCAGTTGTCTCCTAATAATAAATCCAGTCAAAGGCATACTACAAAGATATTATCATCAAAAAGCCAACCACAAAAAATAAACAACTCTGTTATGTCCATGATACTGTTTATGTTCATATATATACTAGTATCGTTTCAAAGGATATTTTTACACTAGAAATGTCTACCTCGTTTTAAAAAACTTAAGGATTTTTATTTGAGCAAGTTGTCATCTTAATTTGTTTATTTGTCTGGTTAGCATATTTATTTCTTCAGATATCTAAAAATTTCATAACTTAGTGTTTTATGCATACATGTAAGCAGTATTTATATATTTTTATTTATCTGTGTAAGTATTTATATGCATGTATGTATATGTGTATATGTGTATATGTATGTAAGTATGTATATATATACGTGTATAATAGTATATAAGTGTATATAATGAGTAGGGATATATGTATATTTTACATTATTACATGTATATTAAGAAATAATAGAATTTCATTGTGCCTCCGATCAAACTGTTTTTTTTTTATATATACAACTTAGAATGGCAAACAAGCTGACGGCCCACCTGATGGAAAGTGGTAACCGTCGCCTATAGACATGAGCAGTACCATGGACATAACAGAGTATACTGTTTCGCCCATGATACCCCCCATGCGTTGCTATTCCTGAGGACTCAGGTGTTATTCTTCTGTACTCAGTAAATTCACGCCATATCCCACCCTTCAAACCGAAACACAGCCATGCAAACACAACTGCTTCACGGTTAAAACACGAATGGACCAGAGGTACCCAAGCAAACAACTTATATACAAAGTCTCCCTCTGGTAGTTATAATTACTCCTCTCCATCCAAAGGTTACCTGGAAGAGATCGCTTTTAGCGATAAGGTCGCCCATTGTTTTCTCATTGTGATTATTTCTTGTAATTGTTTATATTTATAATAAGTTTACTATTGTAATCTTTTGGAGGAAACAGTAAAAAGTATCTATCTATCTACCTAATGATGAATTATCACCACAGCTTTGTCTCTGTTGCTCTAGCTGTATGAACTTATATACCTAATTACAAGTCTACATGTTTAAGAAGTGTCAGAGCTTTTTCTCGAATTTCCACTACAAACATAACTACATTAATAAATGACAATACAAACACATAAAAAACAAACAGTATACTCTGTTATGTCATGTCTATAGACGACGGTTACCACTTTCCATCAGGTGGGACGTCAGCTTGTTCGCCATTATAAGTTGCATAAAAAAAAGGAAATTAATATTCAAATAGTTCAAATTAGTAGTAGATTTTATGATGCTGTTACGGTTCTTCTCTGGCCTATCACCGGTGAAAAACATTACATTTCATTCATGTTCAAATATTAAATACTGTACAATTTTTTTACTTTAAAAAGGCCTATATTACATTTGAATGTTTGAATAGTGCGTTATACTAAATCTATGGTTTGAATAATGTTAAGATACAAATACAGTTAGCGTTATTTATATCTATTGAGGACGCAAAATTGCAAACAGTGGATAAGTAGGTATAGGTACATACTTACTTATTTCCGGCCGTGTAAAGCTTGGGCCATTCTTGTTTGGTATCGTCAATGAAGAGCGATCAAATATATATATCGAGATTCATAATTTCAGTTCTATAGCCTTTTGCTTTCAAACAATGATTCTACTCACATTACAAATGTGAAAGTTTGTTAAGCCGTTTTTATGTTTGTTACCAAATACGGTTGAACGAATTTGAATGAAATTTGTTACAGGGTTATATCCTAATTTAACAGATGGGAAACTTTATATACTAACGAGCTTTCACTGACCGGGATAAAAAATAGCCTATGTCCTTCTCCGTCCCATATGGTACGTATGTACCTAATTTCACTGTATTTGAATATGGCGCTAAGAGGTAACAAGGTTACTTTCGCATAATATTAATAAGGATTCACGAGAACAAAGCCGTGGGAAACACCTTAATATATCTTATCAGGTCGACCTCCACGGAGTTCTCCTTGAAAATAATTGTGAGTGATTTATTATTGAAATAATCACGATGGATCAACTGGCCTGCTTTATCGTCACCTATCATCCCTCTCTGCTGCAAGTATACAAAACTTCTCTAACAGTAATTATTAATTAAATACATTTACATATACCTACTAGCGAATGACAAAAACTAGATACACATATTGAAAAATTATGTAACAAACTAGCTTCTGCCTAACCAAACTTATGCCTTGAGTAAACTTAAGCAATTAATAACAAAAACTCTGAAAATACTTTGCATATGTTTAATCGCTATTATTATACGGTATTACAATTAGAGCCAATGCAACTCTCAAGTTGACAGTTCTAAAGCAACAAAAGCGAGCTATAAATATATGTGGAATTTGTAAACGCACCTTTAGTAGGCCTTACTTTAGCCAACAACGTATAATGACAGTGTTATCGTTATTCGTATACAATTCTTTACTAGAAATATACGACAAAAGGGGTACTCTTTGCATAAATTTAGCCAATTATAGTTACACCACGAGAAATAAGAACAAATTGGAATTGCCAAGAAATAATTTTAAAAATTAAATAAGACAATTATTTGAGCAACATCCTTTTTACAACGTGACTGAATACTTAAATGCCAATATTATAACATACATTCGAGAGTAATGAATGCGGGTCAACTAAAGAAACCTATAAATCTTGGAAACTAAGAACGCTAGCTTACTAAAATAAACGCTGTTTAATAGACAAAATAATATGAAAGTAATAAAATTTATAAGTCAATACATTTTATTTATTAAAAATTACATAAAGAAAAAAACTGCTGATCTCGCCTTAAAACAAAAATAGGAAACATGACATTTTTGTACAACAATATAATTTTCTTGAATTTTAATACTTTGTATTGCCTACTCGTGCTTCCATTACTGCGTTTACGCGGTTTGGCATGCTGTACACCAAGTTTCTTTACGTTGTTTTACGCATCTCTATAGCACGTCGCATGCATGCTCGATCGGGTTTAGGAATTGTCATTTCTTGTAGGTAGTCATTCACAATGAAACCTGTATGAAGTCGGACATTGTCATGCATAAAAATAGCATTCTCACCCAAATTGACCATTAATGGCCCAACGTGTTCCTTAAGAATTTCTTCCATATATCTTACGCTAGTTAAAGAATTGTTTTCTATGAACACCAGTTCTGTGCGACTCTCAGATGCAATTACGACCCACACAAGTTTAGACTCATCACCGTAGGCTACTTTTTCTTCTATGTATACTTGCTTGAATCTTTTCCCTAGTCTTCTATACACTCTGTGTTTTCCATCGTGCTTGTAGAGCATAAATTTTGATTCGTCGGAGAACATAACTTTCGACCAATCTTCAATAGTCCAATTTAAATGGTTCTGGGTATATCTTAGTTTTTAAATACGATCACCACGCTCCAGTTTAGAGCTATTTGCAGTTCTAAGTGGTTTCAATTTAGCTTCAGCATGTCGTCGTCTTACTGTCCATGCGCTTGGGTTACTTTCTCTGAGGTGTCGAAACTGATTTGTAAGTTCCAGCTTCTCTAAGAAAACGATTACGAAACATAGTGTTCACCAAGTATCGATCTTCTCGTGCTGTGGTACACCTGGTTCTGCCTGTTCTTGGTCTACGTAAGTTAGAGCCTGTTTCCTAGTAACGTCGCAAAACTCTTTGTACTATTGACAACGATACACCGACAATCCTGGCTGTATCGCACTGACCCCGGATGGTTTCCAGCATTGTAAGGATTCTAGTACATTCTTCAGTTGTAAGCGACAAGATTACAGGTTCCAGAACAACATGAATAAATAACAATACAATGTTATCGTTAAATCTTTGTTTTTTATCTTCATAATTTAATATAAATTAGAAGTAGGCTCCAATTGCATTACTTTCAAATAGAATCATTCGAGCTACTGGACGAGCCTCATCGACGTCAGGTACAGGCCCGTTAAAATTATTTGTTGCATCTTTCGTTTTATCATCTACTGATGCTACCCCTTCGCGATTATATGTCTTAAAGTTTTTAGGAACATTTACATCGATTCTCCTATGGTTAATGCCCAAGCGATAATTTTGTGTATCCCTATGTAAGTCGAAGATCATTATGATCTTCGACTTTTAAACATTGTATCTGGATGGCTGTTAATACATTTTCCTATAATCATCAATTATTACATTATAAATATCGTGTAGTTACCTCCCTGATTTTATGCAGAGAAATGAAAATCATGTTTTGAAAAAGTTATTTAATATATGTAATGATGGATGAATGTAAAAGAAGGGAATAACCAAAGAAAATTATAAAATAATAATTAAAAGATTGTCTAAAGGGAATAAAGCTATATGGGTATGACGGCTAATGCGACAGCTGTAAGAGGAAGACATTGTGCCTAATTCTAGTAAATGGTATAACGCAAGCCTGTATTGACGAATGATTTCATCTTACGTGCTTAAGTAAAATTATAAACATATTGTATTTCGCAACTCTACCCGTGCCTTTTTAGATTTTAGCTGTATTCTCTTCATTTTACAAATGAAATGAAATGAAATGAAATTTATTTGTTATAAAAGTAGTACATAATAGATGGTATGGTTATTTATGTTATATAGATCTCACTTTTAGTCTTTACAGACATGCAAATACATATTTGAATTAATCTATTATTATTCTTTATGTAATTCAATTAAAGTTATATATTATACATTTATTATTATTATAAAAGTATGAAATTATTGTTATAAAACTGTCAATATATTCATGACGAATGTTAAAATTATATCAAGTATGTATTGTCAAAATATTATGTTTTCTAATAATTATAGTTCAACATCGTTTA